CGTAAGAGATTTTGTTCATGAGGGATATCCTTCACAAAACCTACTAGACTTTGCTCCAAAATCATAGCTATTTGGCATTTGGTTTAATTTTAATAAAGCATCAATGAAACATTACAAATGAAGTAATGGACATATGAATTTCAGTTTGAAATTTCAAATGTTGTAGGCATTAAACATGATAGTTTATATGAGTTGAAGTAGTAAATCATTCATCAAATGAATCTAAAAACTAAAATTCATTTGTAACTATTTAATCACTTTCTTTAAAAAAAACAAACGCCAAAATGGATTTGCAAATTTTCCTTTTAATAAGTAATTATAATAAAATTAATAGTATTTAATTCTTTTTTCTTTTTCTTTTATTCATTGTTAACGGCATTATAATCAACATATTATGTCGACAATGACTCTTAGTATTAGGCCTCAACACTACAAAGATTTGAAACCACTTACAGCACCAATTTCAACATGAATTTTAAGTTGGAAAATAGAAATCATAACAAACCAAATTGAATAATTTGGAGGATGAGCATTAAGAATGAAATTCCATCAAACACTAATCCTAATTTATAGTTAGACTTTAATATACCCAATTCGGTGGAAGAGTATCTCCATGACATTTCGTAGCGCACTAATTATGTTGTGTAGAAGAAAAAAAAAAACAGGAAACACTTACGAACATAATCATTTCGTATCATAAAACAAACAAAATTAAAACTTAGGGAGAACGTATAAAACATGGATCTTATTGGAAATTGCCTACCCAAAATAATTTGGTTTTTGGTTGATTTGAGTTAGGCACTTATAAGCACCACAAATCATGCAACTAAAAAAATGAATTTCTATAGGAAATTCTTAAGATTGCTGGCATCATTCATGTGACTTTTAGAGGAGCTAGTAATCATTACCCAATGTGTTTGATCTCTACTTTTAAAATCAACTCACAATCGATAGAGTTCAAACACTAAAATGGATACAGGTTTCAAAATTCCAATTTCAAGAGAACATGGAATCATTACTTCAATTAGTGAATGCCACTCTTATCAAACAACACTTCAAATATGAAATAATGGCTTGATAATCTATGCTCTGATACCACAATGTTATATAAATACGCATAATCCAAGATCAATTTTTACATAATCATCAAGAACCCTAAATAAATTAAAGAACACTTACTTGGAGAATATTATATCCTTTGATATTGAAGATGACTAACTTCATAGTATGATTCTTCCATTTCACATAATGGTGTCTAAGTGATTGATTCTGATGGATGGAATTACATAGATTGTTATGGTGTTTTATAGAGAGGTTGGAGGAGATATAAGAGAAGAAAAAATGTATCCCCTTCAAATGTTTTCTCTATTAAATGTGTATTCAATTAATCAATTACACCTTATGAGAAAGTATTAGAACCACACAATTTTGATCCCTCAACTTATGGATAAATGTCATATCCATCATACTACATATAATTAATCTTAGAGACCTGATATATCAATATGACAAACATTATAGTACCCAATATAAATGTACCTAACATGTAATGGATATTACAAAATAGTCCTAAGGCCATACTAATGTCTTATTTTCCAATATGAGATCCTTAGAAATACATGTTCAAAACATCACTACTATACTACTAACATATTTTCTCAATGTAGTTTAAGCATTAGAATTTTGTAATTAAGTATTTCACCAAAATTCTCAACTAAGTTCACACAAGAAGAATTTACCATAATTCCAGTGGAATTGATACCCTCTTTAATGCTTTTCATAATTCCTAGCTCTAGCCCCAAATCATCAATATGAATCTTCCCAAATCTCTCTTAGCAGCTATCGGGTTGAATGAAATGAATTTTGGGAAACAAATGAATGACTTCACACATTAAATATATAATACTATATATGTATAGACACATCATGTTAGACTCTTGGTTGTGTCACATCCTCGTTTTAATAATGTGGATGTACTTTCTTACTGTAACAACCTGAAATTTCCGTACCATCCCTTGTAACTCTTTTGTAGTACAATTCACGCAAACAATCGTCGTTTCAAATTCGATTTCCGATCTCCTGTTTAATTAAGTCATTAACTGGTACGTATTTAAAATGACTTAATTGGTGTCTTAATACATTTAGAAATCATTTTAACACCCAACTTTAGTGATCGGAATATTTCTAGAAATTACCGTATCGAGTTACGACAACCTAATCAGGTACGACCAAAAGCCTCGTCTAATGCAGGTATCGGGTAGAATTCCACCGTGTCCAAAACATAGACACTATATAAAGTGTTTTAAGACTCCATTTGAAGCCTTTGGCCATTTTCTCATAAAACTCTCCCAACCTCTCTCCTCATCCATAATCAAAGGTCCAAAACAAAGATTTAAGGCTTCAAATCAAAGAGGTAACATCCCTAACTTGTTATCTAACCTCTTTAGCCTTCAAGAACATGAGTTTACGGCCAAGGATCAAGCTTGGGCCGTAAACTCCTCAAAATGGGGTTTTTAAGCCAAAATTACCCTTCCAAATCATAGTTAGGACTTAGATATGACCTTGAGGCTTACCAATCTGGACTTGGAACACATTAAACATGAATTTTGTGGAACAAACAAGAGTTTACGGACAACACTCCTTCTTGGGCCGTAAACTCCTCAAAAAGGGGGATTTAGTGCCTTAAAAGATGTCAAAATGCCTTGAAACTCAACCAATGGCCTTATGGTAAATCCTAGATCCTTCTAAAAATAGTTTTCGGGTTTGTAACACTTCAAGAGTACCACATATAGGAGTTTACGGCCTAGGAACATACCCTTGGTCGTAAACTCATAAAGACATGCCAAAAATGTCCTTAAACCACCCTAAAGGCTTGGATAAATTCCTAGAATTACATGTGATTGTGTTAAGCATCAAAAACTAATTTTTCTTACTCATATTAGAGTTTACGGCCAGAGAGTATGTATCTGGGCCGTAAACTCACATAGAGGTGTTAATTGAAGCCAAAAATTGATACCAAGCCTTAGAAAATTAGTTAGAATCACATGTGATTGCTCCTTGTGCCTTAAAACAATTTTTCTTGGCCATGGGTGAGTTTATGGATGCAAACTCCAAGGTTGTGGACGTAAACTCCCTTTTAAATGGTATAAATCCAAACAAATTAAACCAAGGCATTCTAGAAGTCCATTCCAACAATCCTCATGTCCATTTAAGCCATTAAACACTCAAAAACACACCAACATGAGTTTACGGCCGTAAACTCATGTATGGGTGTGTTATGTGGCTGTAAACTCTCTAAAATGTTTACTCTTGGGGAGTAAACTCAAGTCCCAAGTCCCTAGTGCCATTACACGTCCGAAGATGTCACCCGGGTGACTCCAAACGCTTGTTTTGAGGTGTTTAACCTCGTTGGAGTGTAATGTTCCATATAATTAGTGAATGTATACCTAATTGAATATATATGGACATTATTTCATTTTACATAGGGACATCACGAGTAATCAAACCCCAATCCAACGTCTAGTATCCAAAACCGATGCATTTCCGAGTCCGGTGAGTTCATACCCCTACCCTTTTTCACTGTTTTCACTGTTTTCAGGGGGGGGGGGAACACAAGCAAAGTACAAGGGAATTCTTGTACTCAAAACATGTTTTCAAATGTGTTTCATATTCCATGTGCTTTTAATACTGATTACTACAACTGATAACTATTTGAACATGCAGATCACGTAACATATATTGTGAAATGGATCTTTAAACTGTTATGTTTTACATATATTTCACAAATGGTTTTCCACATTTTATCAGTTAAAAGCATGACATTATACATTTGAATGTAATACCTGTACATTTTTTTGTCCTCGGTAACACTCCACACATATACGCGAGTGGAGGACTATCATATTATTACTAGTAAATTTGTTAATCCTGTATGATTGGAGACACGTCCTCGGCGAACACTCCACAAAGATACGCGAGTGGAGGACTACACCCGTAACCAGAATCTCTAGTATTTAGAGAGCGTGACTTGAGTGTATAGATCTATACGGGGCTGACTACCCCACGCCTGGCTGCTAGCTACAGCCAAACCGAAATGGTTCAAGGGTGACAAAAGTCATAAGTATATGGACTACTTATTGCCACATGTGGACTACTTATTGCCACAGGTTTAGTCCATCGTATGGTTATGGAACTCGCAATTAGGTTAACAGAGATTTACTTATAGTAATAATGAACCACTTTATACATCTTTCACATACGGTAATCAACGTTCAGGAAAGTATGGGACTTTCCTAGGGTAATCATGGAACCTAACCACGTTTACATCTTTTACATCTTTCACATGGTTCACATTGGAAACCAACATGCAGGAAAGCATGGGGCTTTCCTGAGTAACTCTTACATAACTGGAAAAAGTAACAAACTTGATAACAGTACATATTTTACAATTGGTAATATACAATAAGGAAAGTATGGGACTTTCCTGGGAATACACGATAGGTAAACAGAATAGTTTAACAAGCCGGATAACTAAACTATACATTTTCACATGAGTAGACATGTTTTCAGTGTACAAACTTATTATACTTTACATTTTTGAAACAACAACCAACTTTTAAGAAAATATAGGATTTTCTTGGTATAAATAACATTTCAGAAACAGAAAGGAAACTTGAAACATTTTCACAAACAAAAACCGCTTATGAACTCACCAGCGTTATGCTGATTTTTAAACCGCTTGTGTTCTCAGGTCAGCGTTAGAACAGGTACCCGAAGATCCCTTTTTGGTCAGAAGACGGAGTACATGAAGAACCGTTTCATTTTGTTTATATATACTATATATCACAACTGTACAAACTTTACTTTTGGAAACAACTGTAAAACTTTTCTTATGTAATGTAATGGTTGTTTTACTTTACTTACTATGTGCATTGGATTTGATACTCAACGTGGAGTCAACCCCGGAAATGTTTCCGCCTTCGGTTTTCGAGGTGTGATACTTACGCATCGAGCCCAACACTGTAATAGTGAAATAACGAAAATTCCCTTCATTTAATGGATAAAACTTGATGGAATTAGCAATATATAAGAACCTTTTATTAAAAGTTTTGAGACTATGGAGACCATCTATGAGATTTTTTAAAATTAGAGACAAAACTTGATATTTTGTGAAACCATATGATCATTTATGAAGTTTTCTTATTGATTTTCATTTCTTTATGACTGCAAAACCTAAAGTCCTTAGCTGCCCTATTGTCATTAACATCTACATACACACCTTTCTTTCAGCCCATTACAATCATTCCATTATCATTCCAACCATTTTCAATTTAGCCCAATCCAAATAATTGTAAAAAACATTTATAAATTCATACCTTATCTTTAAATCCGAGAATCGATGTTCCATGATTCCATTGTGTAACTTAGCAACGGAACATAGTACATGACCTTGTATTTTTTGTTTCACCAAAAAATGGAAGAAAGTGTTAATTAGAAGGAGATAGAGAGTAATTCCCTAAACTTTGAGATCAAGAGAAGACAAATTGGAGATTAGGATTAGCCACATTTCCTTCCAAGATGGATGATGAACTAGGATGGGTTTGGTGGATTTCCAGGGTTGTTATTAAGTCGTCTCGTAAGTTCCAATATTTGTGCTTGTAATTTTTCTCGTGCTTTTCGTTCCATTTCTATTTGTATTTGCAACTCTTGTACCTAAAACATATTAAAACAATCATAGATAACTAGTGAGTAAATAATTTATAAATAGTAAAACAATTATATATATATATATATATATATATATATATATATATATATATATATATATATATATATATATATGTTAACATTTTTATCTATTATAGCAACGTACATTATTTTAGCAAATAATAGGAACATATTTTATGGATAAGCATTTGATCAAAAAACCCAACCGGAACTAGAACCTCTTGGAACTGAGTATGGGTATTTTGGCCCGGTTATCTGTTCTCCTAATCCATCATTTTTACTTTTGATTCTTTTCGTTTTGGTCTGATTTAGTCATGTTATCAATTCTCCCGATCCAAAATTTATGATTTTCGGTTATTTCGGTTCCGATCCAGTATACTTTACTTTTTATTGCTATAGAGAAATGTACGTTTTTATCTATATTCTCAACATACTAAACTTTAGCATATTGTTGGTCTTATCTATAATCGTAACCTACTTAATATACCTTTAAGTTTTACCTTAATGACTACACTTTTTTATAAAATAATTAGAAAACTTCATTTCTTTTTTACATAATAACATCATACTGTCAATTTTAACCATGATAAACAGCATAACATGTTCTTTATACCAAAATAAAAATTCTACTTAAATTTTTTTTATCCATAATAAGTGTACATTAGTTTTCTAACATTAGCAATACACTAACATTTGTTTTACCTACAATAGCAAGATTCTTTTTTATTTAGAGTAAAAATGCATGCACATTGCGTTTTTATCCATACCAGCAACACACTGGTTTTAATGCATCATAGCGACATTTTTTTTTTTTCCATAATAGAAACACAGACTATCTTCGTTTGAACAATAGACTTACTTACATTTATATTAGCAACCTAATTTTTTTTCTATAATAATAATATACTTACTTTTCTATCCATAAAAGCGACATATATTTCTTCATAAACACACAATTCGTTTTTAAGAAAAGTGTACCTGCTGCTGCAATTGCGTGTAGTCAAAGGAGGACATGGCACACCCGTAAGAAGGTCTCCGTGTCGCTACAAATTTAAGATCCGAGTATCCTATTCCAAAAACATGACTCTTCTTTTTCCCTATCTGACTTTTTTCCCACAATTCAACATTATCCCCTGTATGCTGAATGATGTCCTCTCCATACTTCTCAATCATAGATCTCTCATATGCCTCCTACAATTAACAACATTCTTATTATTGTAGTAGATGTCAAGAGAGTAAATATTTCAAGAAAAAGATGAGAAATATAACTTACATACTCCTTCCACGATGTAACAGTACACCACTCTAACCCATTTATTGTAAAAAACCATTTGGATACCTGTAAAGCAAACCCAAACTAAAAGTTAACTTTTTCACATACGAACATAAAATAATTCCTGTGAAAACTATATTAACCTATTCAGCGACATGTAATAGAATCCAAACATAAGCAAAATAAGTATTATTGAAACGTATGATTGAGATGTTAGTTTAGTTTCGTACTACGTCTTTGTTGAGTGACACTGTAGACTCGATGTATTTCCCTATCGGAGAGATTTTGGAATCCATATCTTCACACGTAAACACTATTTCTTTGGTGTTCTTCTTCATATCTAATCGGTAAACATTACGTTCAGCATGAATGAGCAAATTTCCGTTTCTCATCAAGTGTATTAGCGATTTACTCCATGGAAAAAACGAAATTGGGCCATAAGTTAACACCTTCGTCCAATCTCCATCTCCATCTCCATCCATCTTCCACAACTCGATCATTTCATTACAATATTCGCTTGTCATATCGCTTTCTTCCCCAATGAGAATGGCGACACAGAAGTGGACGCATCCTTTAAGAACCATGAAACCCAAACAGTTGGTCATTTGATTTCCGAAAGAGGGCATTGCTATCTCTGTGAACTTTTCAGTCTTTGTGTCGAATCTCATAACTGAATAAGACCGAATAAAGCTTTCTGGTTCTGTTTCAACTTGTTTTAAGAAATAGAGTTTTTCATTCAATAGAAAATGACTTGGGTGCTCCCAGTAATCTCCAGGTTTAGTCCAGTAATTTCCAGGTTCAGTCCAGTCGGAAGCCATTTGTTTGAAGTCCTCAGATGACTCAACATTTCTCCATGAGTCCGATTTTAACGAGTATATATAAATATTGGGATGATGGGTTACATGTAGAAGCCTGTAGTCGTCATCACCAGAGATATAATACAACCCAAATATCCCTTGTGTATCGCAACTCGTGTTAGATAGACTCTTATTGTCATTTGTGAAAGGATTCCATAAAGTTAGATCAGAATATATGTCAGGATTTTCGTGCTTGATTGTACCTATGCATAACAGTCCATGCACAGATGTTAAAATCGATATGTTTATCATGTGCCTCTTATTAATTGGTAAAAGAAATGGAAAACGGCCCATGGTTAAACCATCTTTAGGTGCTTCGCAGTCTATGCTACTGAATGTATATCCATCGGTGGTAGGTAATACGAGGTGTTTGTGGTGATTTTCATGATCATCGATTAATGCGCTCGCAAAAGCACCCGATTTTAGGAACAAGTACCATTTCTTGCAAACACACATTAAACTGGGTAGAGCTTCCACCGGCATCTTTGGTAGTATCTGGAATAAAAGTATCTCCTGTGGAAGCTTCCGAGGGTGGGACTCCGCCATGGTCTATTATTGCTTCATGGGATAGGGATTGCATGTATTGCCATTTAGGTATAGAGAGTAGAACTTTTCGTGTGTTAGATAATTATGATTTCTACTTTTAAAAGCGGAATTAGGATTTGGGAATATAGTTACAAATTAAATTTGTGGTAAATGTGACCAAATCAAGGGTTTCAGAAAAAGTAAGCACCACTAGAAAATGAAGTTTGAACAGATCAATTTGAAGAGGTTCTATTTGTTTAGGTTTCAATGATTTTCGGTCAAATTCAGCCTAAAAACATGTGGAAAATTGACCGTTAAAACGGTTAAAGTCAGAGATCAAATGTGGGCCAAATATTGTTGGACAGTTTCACATCGAGTTTGAGAGCATGTACGATGTAACGTTGTTTTTAGTTCTATTTTTTTTTTTTAGGACTTTTATTTATGTGTTGCATTTTATATTTATAGTAAGTATGTGTAGTGTAAGTCTAAACTAGGGGACTGCAGAAAAAATGTTTATTAGTAATTAAAATCAAATTAACATTTTCGTGCATATAAAATCATGAATTAAGAATTGAACAGTTCTGCACCATCGCACCGAAGGACATACGCACTTCTCATTTCATTATCCTGTAGCCAACATCCTCCATGATTGATCTTATAACACGTTGGTGAACTTGCTACAAAAAACATATACTTAATTACCAAGATTACATGGAAACTAATTTTTTATGTAGAACCTCATTTTCTTCACTAAAAAGTAATTAAAACAAATAATGAAAGTATTAAACTCTTGTTGATTGTATAGAATAGACTTTAGATATGATGATCTAATCACTTGTAAAAAAGAAAAACGGTGAATTACATAATTCTAATTCTTATCTTTCCGAAAGAAACTGGATATCACAATCACAATTGAGAATTCAATGAGCTGCAAGAACAAATTCAAATTCATTTTTGCTCAAAGACTTGGGTACAAATATGTTTTGTACATGACATTTGATGAGAAATTTCAGAAACATCCTTTTTAGCTTGTTTAACTATGGACTATCAACTCTTCTATTCCTTTCGCAATTTTAAATAACCAGAACCAATTTAACGAATTTATCAATGCGAACAATGGTGGGATTGCATGCATGCTCTGAAACGTTGCGTTTTAACTTGCCTAACCTGCAAAACCGACTCCAATATCAACTGAGGAAGAATTTCCCTAAACTGATCCAAATTTTTAGGGAGAAGCTAATCACAACACGATTCTTGTAAAATTAACAAACTTTTATACACATTCACATAATTCACCTAATCAAATACACATACTATTGAAGTAAGAACATCCACTTAGTTCCAATTGAGTTCCCAATATCACAACCACCTAACATTCTGAAAGGAATATCTTGGGAGCAAACATGGCTTGCTTAAAGTTCCACTACAAAAATTGTCTTTGCAATCTCAACAAGTAAAATTGTACGTTATGTCATTGAACTATATAGATAAGCAACTACAGAAATTGAAATAATCAAATAGATAGAAGGAGCATACGACACTATTACCAGAGGGTTCGGCTATAAGATCAAGTTTTACCCATCTATTAACTGCAGTCTTCGCCGCCAGTCTACGCCCCTTTCTCTTTCCCATGAAGAATTAAAATTTTCAACTGACAAACTTTCTGAATTTGACGAAATCCCGTTGTCCAATTTTAACCTAGGGCTAGTTTGTTCGCAGAGAAAATCGTATACTTTATCAAGTGCATAAGATGATACTATGTTCTTTGTAAGGCGTCGATTGAGAAAGGGTTTTCCAGGAGGTGTTGATTTGTGTCGTTGGAGTATGATAAACAAAAACCCTAGGTTCGCTCACAATTTGTCTCAGAGAATTGTAGTGAACTATCGATCTAAACCAAAATGGAGCAGAATGTTGCTTAAGTTTTGATTGATAACTATAAATGAACATGAAAACAAAAGAAAAATAAAACCTAGATCACCAATAAGAATGGAAGACTGACCTGACCAATTCGATACCACAGATGTGAATCAAAAGAAGCAACTGTGAAGACGAAGGCCCTAGGGCTTTTCCTTACTAATTGGAAGAGGCGGGGGTTTTTAATTTTTGGGATCCAATAGGCGGGTGAAATACTGCCTTAAAACGCGTGTTTCATTAAAAAATTATAAAGCCACAAACTTAGATGACACACATTTTATGAAAGGTGCCCTCCGTATTTTTTTTCTTTTCTAACACAATTTTTAGGGCACGCAAAAATACGTGTCCTCTATCCTTCAAATTTTGCAAAACTGACATTATATTTTAGGGCATGCACAAGTACGTGTCCTCTATCAGCACATGTCATTGTTTGCGCGTCATTAAAGGCTGTTTTCTAGTAGTGCCTAACCATTAAACTAATACAAAACATGAAACATTTGATAATTATCTTTTTAATTGGATTAGAATGATAATTATCACATAAAAAAACAGGGTTATAAGTTCAAAAATAGCTTAGGGTAATGATTCTAGTCTAATTACATCCTCAAAAGTCAAAAATCAGCATTCAGGGCCTCTAACTCGTCGAGTGTATGAACAAACTCGGCGACTTAGTCAGTTTTTGCATTGGGCTCGACAAGTCCACTGTCCAGAAAGCTAGTTTTTCGATTTTTTTTTCAACAATTGCATCAAGTATAATTGAAAACCAAGCCTAGTCTCTGATACCACTGAAGGCGTTTGAGCATTCTAACACTCCCATAGTGTGCATGCAACACTATGTGCCTTGGATCCATGTTTTCAGTATTATACATGCAAATATACAAAATTCCAAAGCATCATCCTAACTAGCATATTATGGAGCAAATATACTACAAAAAACTAGTTAGATGACATACCTTTTGATGGAGCTTGAAGTCTTGAACCTTTAAGAGCTTCGCCCCAATAGTGTGGAAGCCTGAAATGGAATAACTTAAGAAGAAAGTTAATTTGGTTCTCCCTATGAAATCAGTCCTTTCCCTCACTATGTGTATCTACTAGTGCCATTTCATGAGCCATAGGATCCTTTATATAGTGTGGCTCATTAGGGTTACACCATGTAAACCCTAATGTGCATGACTTTCCATTTCCTTCATGATCCATGGGTTTTAACCTCCATGGAGTATCCACGGGTTAAGCCCAACATGAAGGACAATGGATCACAAGTCTATATATATATATAAGAATGAATGATTTACATAACCAATCCCCATATATTTAATTAGTCTCTTTTGATCACAAAGTTAATTCCAAATTAAATCTTGATCAATACTAATTAAATAATAAAATTTCATATTAATCTATTAGAACTTACAATACATTAACATAAAGAATAAATAACATTTTCTCACTTTTCTATCCAATTGTTTCGATGCCATGCACCCCAAATGAACCATACTACTCTCGGGTCGAGTAAATACCAATAATAATTATGGAAATGAGTAAATCAAATTTTTAGTCAAATTAGTCTCTTAATGTCACTAACACATAAAACTCACATAATTATAGGCAACAATTCTATGATGTTAAAAATCATTTATGATGATATTAGTTTTGTGGAAACGTAAGCCATCATTTTAGTTAACAAATATCATAAACGGATCTACAGCCTCTCCAACTACCATTAGAATCGTCAAAAAATACTCATTATTAGGGTTGTGCATGGGTTGGTTTGGGTTGGTTTTGGACCTAAACCGAACCCAAGCCATAAATGGTCGGATTCTTGTTTTTAGAACCCAATAGGATCGGTTTCCAGTCGGTCAGTTTCTCGGGTTCTAAGGTCGGTTTGGGTGGTTTTCAATTTCTTGGGTTCAACCCATATACTCATGGTTTCTAGGTTTAAACCCATGGGTTTCGGGTCTTAACCCATTTTCCATAAATGAAGCAAGAAGTTAAATACTTCAAAAAAACACCAAATTGAAGTTAAATACTTCAAAAAAACACCAAATTGAAGTTAAATACTTCAAAAAACATAAGTGTTACAACCAAATAGTCTATTACAAGTTACAACCAAACCTCGAAATAGTTTATTACAACCAAAACACAATCAAAGTAAAACACAAAGTCTAGAATAGTCGATTACCACCAAAACACTATCAAACTAAAGCACAAAGTCTGGAATAGTCAATTACAACGAAAACATGAAAACAAGAATCTTCAATCTACATCCATGTAAATCTCTTCACCATTTCCCAATTCATCTACAAACCAAAAAACATTAGTACTGATTATTGAGTAATAAACTTTTGTAAAAGTATAAATTTATAATTATTGAGTTATAAACCTTTAAAATTCAAGTAAAATCCTCATCCATGCAACTGCCTTGACCACACCCCAATTCCTCTACAAACCAAAAATAATAGTATTTAGTTATAAACCTATAACGTTATAAACTTATAACTATGTAAAAATACTAAAATATTTACCAATTTCTAATGGCACCAAATTCTCCCAAGTCTCTTCCATATGTAACGACGTCATATTTTACACTCGAAGAATCTCACACCATGCGAGTCCCTTAGTATCCTCATGAATCCTGTGATTCGAGTATGGATCTTGTTCTTCTAGTAGGATGGGCCTTATACTACATTCCATACATATCCAAACTTTCCTCAAGGGTCATCCGATTTACCCTAAGTGACCACAACATTCCACAATCGCACTAAACCACACATCTGCTAATGCTAGCATGCTTCCTACGTTCTCCTAGGATTCCATTCCCATCAATCTCCATCATCAGTTGTAAAACAAACCCCCATTAATACCAATTAACTACCTTACGAAAATAATTATATGTAATAGACACTAGATAATTCTTCAACTGCAAGGTTTCATACTACAATGGTTGGACTCAAACAAGAGCTGCACAATAGAGTTAAACCTAGCCTTCTAAAAAGATCTAATTTCTACAACATGTAACCTAGCATTTTCGGTTGATAGTTAAATAGCATTAGTAGTGGTCCATAAAAGCACAAAGCAAGCCACATTCGAGCATCGATTTCTAACCAGGGAAC